GATAGATGCGCCACCGTGCCTTCAGCATGCAGTGTGGTGACCCAAGGCTCGTGCAGCCCTGAGAGGCAGGGTGTCCTAAAGGTGCTTCAGGGCCCGGACCCCCGGCTTCCCAGGCGCTGCCGTGCGCTCTTGGTAGGGGACCGAACCCTATACACCGACGCCTTCGTCTGGCCTCACACCGAGCCTCGCACGGGAGAGCGGATCCTGGTGTATGCGGGATCCTGGTGTAGACATGTTTCGTTGCTCCCGCGGGACATCGGGGAACCAGCAAATATACGCCACACCGCCCCAGCGTCGTCCCCGACCCTCAAAACATCCGGGGATTGAGAAACAGCCCACCACTGGAACGGGGGGAGGAGGAGGAGGAGGAGGAGGAGGAGGAGGAGGAGGAGGAGGAGGAGGAGGAGGAGGAGAGGAGCAGGAGGAGGAGGAGGAGGAGGAGGAGGAGGAGGAGGAGGGAGGAGGAGGAGGAGGAGGAGGAGGAGCAGGAGGCAGGAGGAGGAGGAAGGCCGCGTGGGCCTCTGGGACGGCGACCCCGCCCGGCGGGGCCCCCCAAACGGGCGACGAGGGCCCCCAGGACGCGCCCCCGGGACAGACCAAGAAGCCTCCGAGCCGCCCAGGATAGGGCCTCAAGACGGGCCACGAGGCCCCCGAAACGTCCCCAGAGAGGTCCAGGAGGAGGCCCAAGGAGCGCCCCAAAGAAACGAACAGCGCCCCCTTCCCTCCAGAAGGCGCACGTGTTTGGCATATTCGCCTCTGTGGCTTGCACAGCGTCGAAGACGGCCCAGAAAGCCCCCAAGATCGCCCCAAAACGGCCCCAAAGGCCTCCAAGAGGGCTCCAAGAGGGCTCCAAGAGGGCTCCAAGACGGCCCAAGAGGGCTCCAAGACGGCCCAAGAGGCCCCCATACGGCCCAAGGGAGCCCCAGGACGGCGCCAAGAGGGCTCCCAGATGGGGAGCCCGAGCGGACATTTCGAGCCCTCGGCTCCGAGGGGCCTCCAGAAGGCCCCGAGAAGACCCCAAGAGGCCCCCAAGAGGCCGCCCAAGAGGTCCCCAAGCGGCCCCCAAGAGGCCCCCAAGAGGTTTCCCAGAGGAGGCCCCGAAGAGGCTTCCAAGAGGCCCCCAAACTGCTCTCGAGAGGCCCGCGAGAGCGCTCCGAAGAGACCCCCAAGACGCATCCCTGATAGCTCTGACCCACAACCCGGGCATGGTGGCGGGATGGGCCGAAGGCCATTCAGTGCTCTCGATAGTGAGATCGACAAAGGGACCGATAGCGAGATCGAGTCTGAGCTCACACTGGGACCAAAAATGATATGAGTCGTAACACCGGTATTGCTATTGAGTGTGATATGGATAGAGATATCGATTGTGAGATCGATAGTGAGATCGGTAGTGGGACCAATCATGAGAGGAATACACAGATACATTGTGCGGTCGATAATGCAATTGATAGTCAGGTCGAGTATGATATCGATAGTGAATCGATGGTGAGATCGATAAAACAATCGGATGTGAGATCGATCATGAAAAGAACAGTGAGACTGATTGTGAGACCAGTAGTGAGGTCGATTATGAGATCGACAGTGCGATCGATAGTGAGGTTGATAGAGTGGGATCGCTTGTGAGAACGATCGTAGGATCGATTATGAGAGGAATAGTGAGATCGATAGTACGACCGATAGTGAGATCGATGGTGAGATCCATAGCGAGCTCGATAGTGGGGGATCGATAGTGAGATCGATATTGAGATCGATAGTGAAATCGATATTGAATCGATGGTGAGCTCGATAGTGAGGTCGATACTGCGAGGGATCGTCAGATCGACTGTGAGATCGACTATGAGATCGATGGTGAGACACATGGTGAGGTCGATCTAGTGAGATCGAGTGTGAGATCGATCGTGAGATCGATTGAGTGAAATCTTGGTTCCACCCCCCCAACCTCCTTATCACCTGAAGGGTGGTCGTATATGTGTGTATGTATGTGAAGGTTCACATGCAAGTGGTACGGTCGTGCCCAGGCTTATACAAAAAGTAATGGGGGGCACCGATGGGGTTGCCACAACTTGCGATTAGATCGAAAATTGATGAACGCGCCTGCGACCATCAAATCCGCCGACTCTGTCGGCGTGTGGAAGACGCTATTTCGTTTGACCCGTCGCCGTCGTCGTCGTCGTCGTCGTCGTCGTCGTCGTCGCCTTCCCCCTTTCTCCGGGCCCCCTCTTCAACCACCGGCCACAGTAAAATTGATGGACGTCGCAATTCAATCGAAGGGGAGCCCCCTCCCTTTTATCCCTCCCTCGTCGGGGGGGGGGGGCGCTCCTGGGAAGGGTGGGGGGGGACCGCTGCTCAAAGACCGCCCCTCCTCCTGTGTGTCTCGGGGGATGTGGCTTCTCCTGTAGACAAGGGGGGATAGCCCCAAGACCTCCCCTCAAAGGGCCCCTGGCGAACGAGGCCCAAGACCCCAGCACGGGCCCCAAGAGGCCTCGCGAGGCTCCCCTCAGGAGTCGAAGAATGCCCCAACCACGTTCTAAAATGACTTCAAGAGATCCAAAATCTCCATCAAGCAAGATCAGCCTGCACTCTCTGGTGTTCTCAGAAGAGGAGGCGCTTTCGGTCGAAGCGCTGCCGACGTTGAACCACAACCGTACTCCTCATTCCGTCCTCTGTCCTTGTCCCGTGCTCGATCCGCCTCCCATACCAGACCCTCCTCCAACCTCAATCGTCGATCTCCGCTTTCTGGAGCGAAGCGGGCCTGACCAATCGGATACCTCAAGCGAAACGCTGTGCGCTGATCCCTGGGCTAGAGAGAAAGATTCTCACCAAAACAGTCAAGCTGAGATGATGAGGAACGCCAGTAAGGAACGAAGTCCCTTCTTGGCCTCAAAAGGGCCTGGGTGCACTGCGAGAGGTGCTACTGTAGACTGTACAGCATCCCAGTCAGCATAGCTGTTCTGGGAAGAAACAAGCCGAACTCACGCTCGGCACCTCTGAGCCCAGAGGTGCGAGACTGTCTCAGGCGAGACGGGGCCGACCACCTCGCGTGCGGCATTTCGGAACCCAGAGGTGCGATCGTATCTCGGTCGACACAGGCCGTACCACCTCCGATGCCTTCGAACCCCCTTGTGCCCCTGCTAGAGAGCAGAAATTCCACCCCCGTAAAAAGCACCCCGACAAGCGAAGCCGTTTAGCAAACGCATCCAAGGAAAGAACCGATCAGGGCAGGGCCGTTTAATAAACGCCCAGGGCCATTTAGCAAACGCCAATTGTCGGGGTCGGGGTGGTTTTTCCTCCCCTGACCTGCCCCCTTTCCGTGGCTCACCAAGGGCCCGCCATCGCCCTTCCCGCGACCCGCCCACGACAGCGCCTCTTCCGGCACGGGGCCCCGCACATCTCGCCCCTTGTGCGCGTTGCCAGGACTCGGGGTCAGCGGGGCGTTCTGGGACTCCTTGTCCTCCTCCTCCTCCTCCTCCTCCTCCTCCTCGCCCCACTCCTCCTCCTCGCCCCTCTTCTCCTCCTTCTCCTCCCCCCGTGCCGCCCCGCGCGCTCCACCTCCAGGCCCCCGCCCCCGCGGAGCCCGAGGCGCCGCGCGCACCCGGTGTCGAAAAGCCTCGCCGCCGGGCAACCTTGTGTCTCGGCGCCTCGGCGCCTCTGGGGACGCCCGGAGGCGCTGCGCGAGGGGCCTCTCGCGGGCCCCGCCCTCTGCTGCCCCCCCCACCCCCCCCCCCTCCCCCTCTCGTCCGACCCCATCCTCGGCTGGGCCGCCGCCGGCCTCTACTGGCCCACGCGCCGCCGCTCGGCACATGCTGGCCTTCGCGGAGGAGGGGCGGCTGAGGCAGCGGCCACTGATGTCACCTGCTCGTCCGCAGCTGCGGGGGCTCTTGGGCTCCCTCCCCGCCCCGCCGGCCGCGAGCCCCCCTCCGCACGCCGCCCGGGGCATCCGTGCAGAGCGCGGGGCCGAGCGCGCCGAGCTCGCCGAGCGCGAAGGCGCTGGCGCGCGGGAGGGAGGAGCGGCGGGGGGAAGTGCGATGCCCACTCGCCCTCCTCGCGCGTCGCGCCGCTGGCTGCGGCCGCGGGCCCCGACAGGCCCCCTCCTGGACCCTGCGACCCCGTGGCCTGCGTACAGTCAAAACGTATAGTAAGGACGCGAGGTAAGGACGCAGGACCCTTGGAGGCCGAAGTTGGGATTTTTTGGGCGGCGGGCGACCAGTGATAATGGCAAAGGACGGGCCTCAGAGGCAAGGACACAAGGGTACCCTCGATGAAGGCACGCGTCCTTACTAGGCGCGTTGACTGTGCACAAACTGCGCCGGGGAGCAGGAGGAGCAGGGGAAGCATGGAGGGAGGAGCAATGGAGAGGGCTTTAGTGTGAGCCGACTCCCTCCTCGCCTGTTGCGCCTCCTGCTTTCGGGTCACAGCTCGGGTCTCCGGCGGCCCTTCGGAACGATCTGGGCACCCCTGGCAGGCTCTCGGTGAGGCAACGCTGCTGGAACGCATCCTGCTGGAGAAGTGCCGAGAACCTAACGGACTTCTCGGGTCTGCGTCGGACCCCACTTCCTGGCGCGCGGAGCGCGCCAGGGGCGGCGCCGGCAGGGGGGCCCAGCGCGGATCCAAGAAACCCGCGCGGAGCGCCAACAGTTTATGCCCAAGTGGCCTTTTTCTTCCTTCTTCGGCTAGGTACGAGATCGCCCGAAGACCTCGGGGCCCGCCCAGGAGGACGTGGAGGAGAAGGAGGAGTGAGGAGAAAGGAGATGGAGCAGGGTGAGGAAGAGGAGCAGGAGGAGGAGGAGGAGCAGGAGGAGGAGGAGGGGAAAACTCAAGAAAGGCATCGTCATCTCTGGAAAAATTGAGGAGGAGGAGGAGGAGGGAGGAGGAGGAGGAGGAGAGGAGGAGGAGGAGGAGGAGGAGGAGGAGGAGGAGGAGGAGGAGGAGGAGGAGGAGGCCCCCGCTGCGGCCCCAGGCCCCCCGACAGGCCCCCCTGCCCGGCCCTCCGCCCCCGCGGCCTGCGAGCGCGAGCTCCGCCGCGGGGGGCGCGGAGGCCGCGCCTGGCCCCGCCGCCGCGACCGTCCCCGGGGCGCCGGCGCTGCCGGCGGCGCTGCCCGGGGGCGCCCTGGCAAAACCAGGGGATCTACGCACGCCTTTTTTTTGTGCTGTGTGCTGTGTGTGTGTGTGTGTGTGTGTGTTCGGGTCGGGCGAAAGGGGGGATAGCAAAGGGGGGGTTCGAGAATCGGCTCACGTAGCTGATTTTTCCTGCGCCTCCCGGCGCCGGATGCGGCCATGTATCGAGGAATGGGCCCCTCGGTGAGGCCGAGACCAGCTGCATGCAGCAAATCTCGTAACCCCCCCTTTCCCAATCCCCCCCTTTCGCCCGACCCGATGTGTGTGTGTGTGTGTGTGTGTGTGTGTGTGTCACCGCTGCCACGGCCGGCCACCCCGGCCCGCGCGGCGCGGAGGTCTTCCGCGTCCGAGGGCTCCTCCTCCCCCCGTCCCCGCGGCCGCCCCAGTCCTTTGCCCTCGCTTGCACGCCGGATGGTTAGCCATTCGGTTGCCCCGAGTCTCCAGTCGCTGGAGCGGACCGCCTCTGCCTCGCCGCCGACGAAAAAAGATGTGTGTGTGTGTGCGTGTGTGTGTGTGTGCGTGTGTGTGTGTGTGTGTGTGTGTGTGTGTGTGTGTGTGTGTGTGTGAGTGTGTGTGTGTGTGTGTGTGTGTGTGTGTGTGTGCGTGTGTGTGTGTGTGTGTATGTGTGTGTGCGTGTGTGTGTGTGTGTGTGTGTGTTTTGTGATCTCCACCCCCCGTGCCCGGAAGACGCATGTCGTGGAGCGCCCTGAGGCTCCTGCAGTTGTGGCACACGACTGCAGATAGGCTCACAGTTGGCGACACTTTCAGTACAATAGGAACCCGACAGCAAGAAACCTTCCGCAAGAAACCCAACCCTGAGACCCCAAAACGTGCATTCATCTTTGGTGTGGGAACGCCATGCTTTCCGTAGCAAAACCATCGTAACTCAAGAAACCCAGGGCACCCTGGAGGCAAGCAAGGTGTTTCTTGGCATAGGGCTCCACTGTACGTATCTGAAAGTCGGAAGCAAATTCGTGTCTCGTGACTATGCGTCCGTCGTGTGACGCTAGCGGCGCACAAAGACATGCCATCGCTCGGACCTCCATTCCTCGTGCATCTCTCGGTGTCGTGCGTGCTCTTGTGGTCCGATGATCCAAGATGCTCCTCGATGGTCCTCGCCGAGGAAAAGTGCACACGTCCGAGCGACGCCAAAGGGGAGGGAACAGTGTGTGTGTGTGTGCAAGGACCGACCACAGCGATGTTTCAAACGACATGGCGTGTACAACGAATAACAAAACGAAACCCAATGTTTTAAACGAGCGTTTCCGACGAAGTCGGTACCAAACGAAGACGAGCGACGAAGCGGGGTGCTTAAACCACCAAAGGAAAACGAAACGGAGCAACAACGAAAATGAAGCGATCAACAAAACAAGGGCCCACACCAGGCTAAACAGCGCTGTGGTCGGGGTCCTTGTGTGTGTGTGCGTGTGTGTGTGTGTGTGTGTGTGTGCGTGTGTGCGTGTGTGTGCGTGTGTGTGTGTGTGTGTGTGTGTGTGTGTGTGTGTGTGTGTGTGTGTGTGTGTGCGAGTGTGTGTGTGTGTGTGTGTGCGTGTGTGTGTGTGTGTGTGTGTGTGTGTGTGTGTGTGTGTGCGTCAACTGCTGCGCTGCCCTTCCGCTGGGCTCGTCGCCCCCCGGCATCGCCGTCCTCCGTGCGGCTCCCATTGTCTCTGGGCGCCGCACTCGGGGATCTTCTGACCCGGGTCAATCCAGACCCGGGTCAATCAGGCCTGCAAAATCCTGCAAGATCCTGCACCCAAACCCGGGTCAATGCGAAGGATCCTGCAGGATCCTGCAGGATCCTGCACCCAAACCCGGGTCAATGCGACCCTGGCGCTGCAGGATCCTGCAAGATCTGGCGCTCTGGCTGACCCCCGTCTGCACTGACCCCCGTCTCGAGGCTCCCGACGCTCTCACACTGGTGCCTGCCCGGGGCTGGGCCTTCGCGGGCAGCCCAGGAAAGGCACTTGGGAGGTGCTTGCCTCCTGGGGCCTTCTGTGGCCTCCTGGAGCCTCCTGGAGCCTCCTGAAGCCTCCTGGAGCTTCCTGGGGCCTCCTGGATCCTCTTGGGGTCTCCTGTAGCCTTCAGGCCTTCCTCTGGCCTCCTGATGCCTCCTGGGACCTCCTGCAGCCTCCTGGGGCCTCCTGGAGCCTGCTGGAGCCTCCTGTGGCATCTCCCCCTCCACTGCCGACCACCTGCCATACCACCCCAACCTAACCCGAAGACCCAAAGCTCGGGTTGACGGGTTCCATGTGGGATTTTGAAGGTTCCCCGACGCCCCCCCCCCACTGGGAATGGAGGGCCACTCGGGGCCTTCGGGCTGGGTTGGGGTGGTTTGGTGGGTGGTGAACTGTGCGGTGCCGCCGTTGCGGCGCGCTGCTGCGCCCCGTCTTGTTGACACGTGCTGCGCACTGTTGTTCCTTGTGTTCCTCGTCTCGCCCCCGCGTCCCCCCCCCCGCCTCTCTCTGGCCGGGCGAATGGGGGGGATAGCAACGGGGGGGTGGGGATAGCAACGGGGGGGGGTTGAGAATCAGCTCACGTAGCTGATTTTCCCGGCGCCTCCCGGCGCCGGGAGGCGCCCGTGTATCGAGGACTGGGCCCGGCGGCGGGGCCGAAACCACTCGAAGAGGAAAAGACTGCACAACTAGGAATTGTCGACGCTCCGCCCAGATCCTAGGGCTCCCAACTTCGCGCTTCGCGCTCCGCGAAGCGCGAAGCGCGAATAACTTCGCGCCCTCGCGCCGCCCCCCCAAAGGGAGAAAAGGAGGACGAGGAGGAAGGAGAGAAGGAACGAGGACCGCGAAGCGCGAATAACTTCGCGCCCTCGTGGGAGCCCTTGAGATCACCCTCCGCGCGGTCCAGTACGGCCTGACGTGCGTGGGGGGCCACGTCCGATGCCAAGCACTTTCGACAGAGACAGACAACCAGAGCATGCTGCGCGGCACGCAGTTCCCGAGGCTAGCGAAGGAGGATAGAGCAGCGGCGATGACAGCCATGGTGAGCACCCCCCGCGCCGTCCATTACGGCTGCAGAAACATGAATGTACGATTATCCGCCAGTATTTATCGGATCGGCTTTGGACCCCCCTCTGTCGGCTTCCCCAGTGCCGCCCACGGCGCGCTCTGCGCGCCAGGATGGGGGGTCCAGCGCAGATCCAAGAGATCCGCGCAATTTTTTTGGTGTGTGTATATACATATATATATATATATATACGTCTCTCTCTCTCTCTCTCTCTCGTCTTCGACCATCCGCACGGCCCAGAGCAGTCCTAAGTGCGTGAGGGGGCCACGACCGATGCGAAGCGATCTCGGCAGACACGGGCAACCACAGCATCTGTGCGGCACGCACTTCCCGAAGGGCGAATTCTAAAAACACAGCAGGGGCAGTAGACGAGGCCAACCAGGTAAGGAAATCGGCGAGACTTGTTGCCGATGAGGGGGTGAACGGAAGGTGACCGATTTGGGAGAGAACCACCCAGATGAGGTGTACAACGATGAGTGTGCATACGAAACCAGCTGGAGTGGAGGCCTCCCGCTGATGTCCAACTGCGCGACGAAAACAAGCGGGTCATACGCGAGATGACATAGCGACCTCACGCAGTGGCATATGTGGGCCGCTGAATTGGAGACGAGGGCGCTTACGCACGACCTTGCGCGGGCAACTGGCGAACCAAATTCGGTGAAGACGATCCAATTTTTCTGCGTCGCTCAATTGGGCCCAGGATGATAGGATTCAGACCCTCAAGAGAACACGTTGACTTCAAAGTGAGGTGGAATCTGGAAACGCAGCCTCCCTGAGAAGGAAATGCACGGTGTGTGTGTGTGTGTGTGTTTTCAACGAACATGGGAACTCACCCCCTCAGAACGCCCTCCATATGGCTGCGCTCCGAAGTCTGGGAAGATGGGCTGCAAAAAAAGACGACACACATCATGGAAGTATGCAGCAGCTCAATTCGCACCTAACTCCCGTACTGCACTGTACGTATCGTATGGCAAACTTGATCATTACTGCCTCCGATCGCTCTGTGTGCACTCCTCGCGTGTAATGGGCACACGTCAGAGAAGCCAACCATCCTGCTGCTGACACTGGCGCCGGCACGGCCGACTTCCAGCCACGGCTCCTGCGGACGACCAAATACGATCTCGCGCTTCAAGAAATAGGAAACAACAAACAAGAAACGCAATGCATGAGCCACGATCGGGGACACCGACAAATTACAATGAATACTCATCATTTCAAAACTGCGCTGTGCACTTGCCTGACATTCGGGATGAGTGCGACCTGCACGCCGAGAGGAAACGATGCCTGAACGTCTTGCGGCGCGAGTCTGCCTCAAGTATAAAGGATCTAGAATATGCATAGCTGGTTGAAGGCTTTGCTCAGTATGACTCCGCGCAGATACACGCGTGCGTATGAAGTAAAACTGCGGGCTCCATATCCTGCCTCTCCCCAACATCCGAACCCATCCCATGTCGTATCTGTTCAAATCAGCTCTGCCGCACCATCTTCTTCCACCTCCTCCTCCTACTTCCTTCTCCTCCTCCTCCTCCTCCTCCTCCTCCTCCTCCTCCTCCCCCTGCTTCCATCCTCATACCAAGACATCCGCCTCGTTTTTAAGACATGCTGGGCCCCAAATCTCCCAACGCCTTCCCCCAAACAAACTGTTCATCCTGCATGTTCGTCGGCGGTCCCGGGGCCCAAAAAGCAGTGGCACGGGCGCCGAGCAAACAAAAGGACCAGCCCGCATCTTTTGTGCTGTGGAGTCTCCAGAGATCTTGCGACCGCTTTTTTTTCTTTTCTGTTCCCCCCCCCCCGGGGTAATGGTCGTTACCCGGGAGAAAGGTGGGCGGGGGGGTTCGAGCTGGAGGGTGATGGTAACGGCGGCCGCGGCGTGCACCCGCCAGGGCGCGTCCGCGCTACCGGCGCATCATGTGCCTGTGTACACCACAGCGTGTAGGGCTGGGGGGTCCAGGCCCCCCCCCGTCAATACGATCCTTAGCATTACCCGGGGGGTGGGGTGGGGGGATTGGGCTCGGGTAGCGAGCGCTACCCTGGGGAGGAGAAAAAAACGATCACCTCGCCCGCCTTCCCGCCCGATCCCTTCTCCTAAAGGAGCACAGGGACACATAAGTGCACAGACACGCATCCAAGGATGCCCCACGTCTTCCCCCCCCTTTCTGGGGTTTCGCCCTCCCCCCACCTCCCATGCTCTCCAATCTTTTCCTGGGAGTCGCCGGCCCCACCCCCCATTGCCACCCGCCCCCCGATCCCCTCTGCGTCCTCTTCTCCTCTCTGCCACTCTCCGTCCGCACAAGGGCCCGACCGGCGGCCGCGGCTCGCAGGCAGCCCTGGGGCCGTCCTCCCTCGCAGGCGGTGGCCTCGGTGCCGGCCGGGGGCCGCCGCCCCCGGGCCGAGGACGCGGGCGCCCTGTGGCCGCTCGCGCTGCACCGCGGGGCCCCTCGGCCGCAAGGTGTGCGCCGCGCCTCCAGAGGGCAGGGCTGCCAGCTTCCAGGCGGCGGCGGTGGCGTGTGCGCGCACCGCGAGGCTCAGCGAAGCCAGGCGGGGCCAGGCTGCAACACCGCATGCTTGGACTGGGCTGCGTCCGCACAGGGCCCCCGACCGTCCAGCTGCCGCTGTCAACGGCACTGTCGTCGATGAAGGCACGGCAATCACGGCAGCTCGGGCGCAACGCGTTCACACCGTAGCTGCAATGGCACTGCCGCCGCTAATGCACCGATTCTGCATTCAGCTCTCTGTAGATGTGCCAGCCCAAATCGGCGCCGCACCTACGGTTAATAAGGTAGCACATGTTGTAGCGACGCTCGAGAATGTCTTTGTGAGGAAACGCACGCGCGCTCATCATGCGCCTCGTGCTTGCAATTCCGCATGCCGTGTAAAACAGTTGGCAAGCAAAGCAGCAGCGCCTACAATTTCCAATAGAAGGATGCGACGGCGAATCCCTCGATTCTCGGGCGGAGGGCTTCTCGCTGGCAGTGCCGCGTCGTGGACCTCGCCGACTCCAGGCTACCCCAGGGCTCTTGCTCCAAGAAGGCCGCGTGAGAGCGAAGCCACAGACACGACCGCGGAACACCCCGCTGCTCTTCTCCCTATCTGTGCTGCGCACGGCCCTCCCTCGCCCGTCACCGCACACGCACGCAAAACGCGGTCTAAAACCGGACGCTCTCCTGGCTCGCGAGTGCCTCGTTTCTTGCTTCCGTCAACCGCCTTCCCCCGAGCGCTGCGCCACTGCCGCCGCCGCCCAGCATGCCAGAGCGCGCGCAGGCGGCAGCCAGCACCGGGCCACAAGCCGCGAAGCCAGGAGCGCGCAGCCCTCCCACCCCCCAAAGGCCGGCCGGCCCCGGGGGGAGGATCACACTAAGGACCGTAGGCGACTCCCGGAGCATTCGCTCCAGGCGTCGCCGGCTGGTGGGAGGTACACGGGAGAAGGCTGGAAGCGGCGTGCGTGGCAGACAGGCGAGGGAGGAGAGGAGAGAGAGAGGAGAGAAAGATAGGGAGGAGAGGAGAGGAGCGGAGAGGAGAGGAGAGGAGAGAGGGAGGAGAGAGAGGAGAGAGAGAGAGATAGAGGTGAGAGGAGGAACGCATTCACCAAGAGGGAGAGGGGGGAGGAGGGTGGCGGCGGCGACCGTGGTCCACTCTCGCCAAGGTGGAAGGCTCATGGACCTCTCCCCATGCTCATAGGACCCCCCCCCGCAGGCGTCCCGCAGATCAGCGACGGGAGCCCTCGCCTGCAAGCAGTATGGCAAATCGTTGGGTTGAGCGGGGACTGCAAGCTGCGGCTGGACACCAAAGTTGGAACGGGGCGAGGAGGTCATGGGAGCGTGGCTAGACTGAGCGGAGGTTGAGCCAGAGAGTGGCTCAGCAGCTGGTGTCTACGCGCCCCTGTGTGGCGCTTCGTGTGTAGGCGGTGTAGAGAAACACTCACCGATCTAATGATTGGTACGTAGGGCGCAGAATCTAGGGTGTGGGCGGTGTGGCACAAATGACCGCAACTTGGCAGGCGCGACAGGGCCCACGATCGCTGAAAGAGGGGTGCCACAAAAGGCACTTCCTCTCACCCGTAGTAGATCCCGACGGGGTCGGCCCCCAGTCGTGGCCAGTGAACCCTCACCCGCCGAAGCGGGCGACGGGTTACCATGGGCACGACTGGGGGCCACCCAGGGGTTCACACCAAGTCAGATGAGTTTTGTGCCCTCCAGTGGCGGCGGTCCCCTGTGGGATGGAGGCGACCTCGGTGGCACGGGAGGAGAGGGGTGAGCTGTGTTGCGTGAAAGCGCTGGCGGACCACATTTCCACCCACCCCGTCAAAGGCCTCCCCCCACCACGAAGAGTTCACTGCCTGGCGGCACAGGTCTGCAGTGAGAGAGGCAGGCACGTCAGGATGGAGTCGAAAGGTGGCTGGCTGGCTGGGGGGACCGGATCGCGGCCGCCAAGGCTGTCGCCGTGGTGGCCAGCGGTGTTGCCCGCCCCACATCTACCGTATATCCCCCCACCCATCCCGCCGCCGCACGCGTGGGAAGGAGTAGTTTCGAGGTGAAATGTGACGGAAGGGGGGGGGCTAAGGAGGTGAGCCAAAAGGGAGGGAAAAGATGCTCCTCGTGCTGCTACCTCCGAGGACCCAGCTCGCAGCTGATTGCTGTACAGTGGCCACGCCGGTGGCCGTGTAGGGAGTGTGGCGTCGCCAGGGAGTGGTGGATGGGGAGTCGCATAGAAGATCTAGTCGGTGCGAGTTAACTTTTGCTGCTGCTGTGTGTCCAGTGAGTGCGGCTGCTTGGTAAAAGAAATGACGAGACGTGGATGTGTGAAAAAGCAGTTGGCCGCTGGTGGCGTCTGCTGTCGGCCAGTGGAACAACACTTGTCAAACTGTGGGAGGTTGATGGCGCACTATTGGTTCGCCGTTCGGTCGGTCCCATCGTGAGGCCTGTGCCTCGTTCACCAAGCTGTTCGACTGATCGAGCTGGGATGCGTGTGCGAATGATGGCCATGGCTCCCATGCTGGCTCTGCTCCGCGCGGGATGGCTACGTCCATGGTGTTGGCCTCGTCGGTGGCCTGGATCGTAGTGCTATCCAGCTCCTCTTCTCCGAGGTGGGCCACCTCTTCGGCTGTCAGCGGTAGATGGCGTGTGTGGGCTCCTCCTCCTCCTCCTCCTCCTCCTCCTCCTCCTCTTCCTCCTCCTCCTCCTCTGTCTCAGCATCCCCCTGCCCCGCTTTCGCCCCCCTGCCTCTGCGCTCTCCCGGGGCCGAAACCGGCTGCATGCAACAGATTTCGTAACCCCCTTTCGATCGGCCCGACCTCCCCCCTTGTTGAGGGATGAAAAAACGGCCCTACCCTTGATTACAAGTGCGTGTTCTGTAAACCTCCTGGGAACCCCCAAAGCCTAGAGCCGCCAGGGCGCGGCGCATCACGCAGGGTTTACCCTGTCAACCCACAGGAGGTTCAGAGCACAGCGCCTCGTAAACCAGGGTAGGGGCGTTTTTTTCTGCCCTTGACCCTGGGCCGGTCCCTCGGTGGTTTCCGGGTCCGAGCTCGATGCTCCGGGGGCCGTTCGGGGCGATCCGGCCTCCCCCCAAAATGCCCTCGGCGAGGCGCGGTCGCTGGAAGGCATCCCGAGGCCGGAGAGTCGCAGATAGCCAACGAACACAAGCGAACACCTCAAACCTCGGAGGCGAGACGTCCCCCCCCCTCACGGCGCGTCGGGCCCCCCACCCCCGCGTGTGGGTCACTTTACAACCAGAAGCGCACTTTACAACCAGATGGGTCACTTTACAACCAGCTTACAAAATCCGAGAAGGGCACTTTACAACCAGGAAGGGCACTTTACAACCAGGCAAATTGAAACACATATTGAATGCGCGCGGGTCTTTCCCTGAAATCTCCGCGGGCAAGCGCAAGGGTGGCTTTGGGCTCTTTGAGGCATGTTGGTTGTAAAGTTGCCCATCGCGCACGAAGAAGCACTGCGCGCGCGTTGGTGATGCGACGACCTGGTGCGCTATGGTATGTTGCGTGCTGGTGGGCGGATTCTGGTTTTGACCTGCTCTCTAAGCTCTGTCGGCCAGTTCTGCCATTGCTTGCCCTGCCTTTGTCTGACGGACGAAGGCTACTCGCGCAGGACATACGAATAAACCATGATCCTGTCCAAGACTGGAGCTGCATGGCAGTGGGAAGCTGTGGTGGGAGATGTGGTAGCGGGGGCTACAATGGGAACTGCATGGTGTTGGGAAGCTGCAGTGGCAACTGTAGTGGTCGCCAGGCAGCGGTGGGAACTGTGGTGGTAGCTGGGCTGCAATGGGATATGTGGTGGTAGCGGGGGGTCAGTCAGAATTGTGGAGGTAGCGGGCTGCAGCGGTAAGTGTGGTGGTAGCAGGGTTGCAGTGGAAACTGCAGTCGAAGGGGTTCAATACGAGGCCGTTGGTGAAGACCCCGACCACCGTCTTGAACATGGCGGTGACCGCGGAGGTGGACACGCCCCAGTAGGTAGACATGGAAGTAAGGCGCGTCAAAGGAGATCGCGCCCAGCGGGAAAGGAAACCGCTCAGAGGCATCGCTGGGGCCTGCGCAGAGCGTTCAGGCGCTCGGGCTCCGGAGCGCCCACGTGCTCTGGAGCACTTTTCAGAGCGCCCGCGCGCCCTGGAGCACTTTTGAGAGCGCCCACTTGCTCTGGAGCATTTTTCAGAGCGCCCACTTGCTCTGGGGCACTTTGCGGCCACTCTGAGCTGGTTGTAAAGTGGTCCGTTCTGGTTGTAAAGTGGCCCGTTCTGGTTGTAAAGTGGTCCGTTCTGGTTGTAAAGTGGGCCGTTCTGGTTGCAAAGTGGACGTTCTCGCTGAAAAGCCATACTTTCCAATCCTATGTTGGTTGTGAAGTAACCCATCTGGTTGTAAAGTGGTTGTTCTGGTTGTAAAGAGACTCTGGTTGTAAAGAGACCGAATCTCCCCCCCCCCCCCCAGCGGGTTCTCCCCCCCCCCCCCTCGGCGTTGCCCCCCTGGGGGGCCCTGTACGCCCGTGCGCCGCGGAGCCCCAAGTTGGAGCGCCCGATTCCCTCCCCCGAGAGGGAGGCGGCCCCTCCCGCGTCCTCGAACAGCGGCGCGTCCTCTCGCGGGCGCCGCGCCGGGGGGGAGGGGGGGGCAGATCGCCCTGCGACAGCCAGGAGGGGGAAGGATGCTCGGGAGGGCGTGATGGTGGGGTGGTGGCGAGGTTGGGTCAGAGGAGGATCTTCCGAAACGGCCCCCGCCCCCGAAGAAGGAAAAGTACGTATTCAGCAACGTACCTTGCCTAGCCACACCCCTGGATCACCCCACCCCTGCAAAAACCATAAATACCGGGTGTTGGGGGAGTAGGTCAGTCAGGAGGCAACTCAAGGGAACTCTTCGTAAGAACGATTGAAAACAATTCAGTCCGATCTGGGGGCAATCAAGCTGGATTACGCTTGGGTTACGCTGGATGCTAGATAAAGCTAGATTGAACGGGATTCAGCGGAATGAAACAGGACCATGCTGGATTAGGCCCATGTTCAACCACGGATCTACGAGCGCCGATACCGGCGCCGATTCTGAATTCGACCTCCCAGGAACTGCATCCTAAGGTGGGAGAATCTATGAGATGGTGACGCTGATGATGACGGCGACAGCGCTGCTGATTACTGGGGCGACTCGGCTTCCGAGCCCAGCAGGTGGGCTCACCCATCTCCCCCAGGCCCGAGGTGGGGGGTGAAACCGCTGACTTGGAGCCAGCGACAAGTCTCGACCAAAAACCAGCGACCCCACCCCACCTGCGCCTCTCTCCATGTTGCGCTGCGGCCCGTCGGGCGCCGCAGCGCCTACGACGCAGGCAGCCCACGCCACCTCTCCTGGGTCTGCGCTGAGCCCCGTGGGGCCGCAGGTGGCGTGGTGTCCTCTGCCTTCTGGCCCGGTATCGCCGACGGATCCGCGGCAGGCCCTCGCCGGCGACACCCCACGCTCCAGGGCGGGGTGGGGCACCCCTGGCCACGCTCGGCGAGGCAGGGGCGCGGGGGGGGGGGGTCGATCCTCGGCCCACCCTCGGCGATGGCGCCCGACTTCGCGCCCCGCGCCCCGCGCTGCGTGGCGCGCGAAGAACCTCGCGCCCTCGCGCCGCCCCCCCCCCAAATGGGGGAGGGGGGGGGCTATGGGGAGGGATCGGAGCCCAGCCGCGGAGCGCGGATGGCTTCGCGCCCTCGAGGGCGCCCTTGCCGTGGCCAGCCTCTCCTGCCCTGGGCCCCCGTCGGAATCCACCGCAAAGGGGGGGTGACCCTGAGGGGGGGCACGAGTTCGATCCGCTGGTGCACCGCACTGCCGCAAACAGATTCCCAAGCAATCGGCAACTATCGGGAGGTGAACGTTTTCTTGTTCGGCGTTTCAACGTTGGGCGGAAGGGGGGGAGGGGGAGGTCTGCCTCTGGACCTCTGTTTTAATGCGACTGTTTGCAACAGTGCGTCCTATGGGGGAGACTCCACCTGTTTGAGACGGGCGCCCAAAACAGCCAAGATCTACTCCATGGGCGGGGGGAGGGGGGGCCAGGGCCTGCGCCGATCGGCAAACAATGACTAAGAAAACGATCACGAGCTGCGGGCGGCTGGGGGGCATCTGTTTTGGGCAGCTCGGTGCAAAAACCGATCGAACTCACATCCCCCCAGGGGCACAACCCCCCCCTTTGCGCGGGACCCCGACCCCGAGTCCACCGCAGGCTCGTGCCGTGACGGCGCCGCGGGCGCTGGCATATGGCGCCGCGTGCACCCCTGCATCCTGGAGCGGCGGCGGACTGCCAGCACAGTAGGAGCTCGACCCGAAGAAACCTCCCACGAGAAACCCAACCCTGAGACCCCAGGACGTCCATAGGTTTTTGGTGTGGGAACATCACGCTCTCCACAGAGACACCGTCGAAACCCAGGAAGCCCAGGGCGCCGGCCTGAAGGCCGCGGAGGGCCTATACCCTGCGAAATGCTTAAGAAATCATGGGTTAAGAAATTCATAGTCTCAGAACTTGAATAAAAACCCAACATTTTTATTAAAATCTTAGGATTTACATTGCAACGTTAAGAATAATCGAGACTCTGGCCGAAAAATTGGGTTTTCTTAAGCATCGCCTAAGGTGTATACGACAACGTACGAACACCTCAAACCTCGAACCTCCAAGGCGAGACGCCCCCCCCCCCCCTCACGGCGCACCACCCCGAGGCCGGAGCGCCGCCGAGAGCCGACGCCACCGTCCGACGACGACGCCCGCCCGCCGCGCCCGCCGCGTCCTCCAGGGCGTCCCCCCACGCCTCGGGCGCGGGCGCCGCCGCCCCGCCCGCGCCGCCCTCTGCGCCACCCTCCTTGGGCGTGGCTTCATGGGGGGGTCATAAATGGGGGGGTCAGAAAAGGTCCCCTTTCGTGCCCCTTTCGGGCCCCTCCGGACCCCCAGGGGGCTCGTTTAGGTACCGTTTGGGTACCTTCTCGGACCACCCTCGCCCCCCCCCCATGTATGACCCCCCCATTACGCAGCGCCCAACCTCCGCGCCGCCCTCTGCCTCCGGCGAGCTCCGCTCCGCCTCGCGCCCCGGGCGCGCCGCGCTCCCGCGCAGCTCGCCCACCAGGCGGTGCTGGAAGCCCGCGGCCTCGCACGCCCGCAGCGCGGCCGCCGCCGCCCTGCGCCGGCGCTCCTTGGAGAGGAGGGGCCACCGCTCCCCGCTGCTCCGCCCTGGAGGGCCTTCGTTGCCACGGCTGGGCCCTCCTCGACATGTCACGTCCCTCCCTCCTCCTCCTGCCTCCCTCCTCCTCCTCCTCCTCCTCCTCCTCCTCCTCCTCCTCCTCTCCTCCTCCTCCTCCTCCTCCTCCTCCTCCTCCTCCTCCTCCTCCTCCTCCTCCTCCTCCTCCCCCTCCTCCCCCTCCTCCTCCCTCCTCCTCCCTCGTCTTGGGGGCGGCGGGGGACCGGACGGGTTTGTTACCTAACAGCGAAGACTGATAGGTTTCTAGCGGGCTCAAAAGAGAGCATCTTGACTCCCCAGGGGGTCTGGGCGGATGCCGGGGAGAATCCGGGGACTCCCCGGGACTCCCCAGGGGGGTCTGCACGCGTGCCGGGGAGGATCCGGGGACTCCCCAGACCACCATTCCCAGGCCACATTTTGAATGCCCGGAGCCAACTGTAGGCCGCTTCGTGTTCTTCGTGTTCCCAAATACAGCTCCCAGGCCACATTTTGAATGCCTGGAGCCATCTGTAAGCCACTTCGTGCTCTTTTTGTTCCCAGAACACCATTCCCAGGCCACATTTTGAATGCCCGGAGCCAACTGTAGGCCACTTCGTGTTCCTCGTGTTCCCAGAACACCTTTCCCAGGCCACATTTTGAATGCCCCGAGCCAGCTGTAAGCCACTTCGTTTTCTTCGTGTTCCCAGAACACAATTCCTGTACCATATTCATATTTTGATTGCCCGGAGCCAACTGTGGGCCACTTCGTGATCTTCGTGTTCCCAGAACACAAGTCCTGTGCCATATTTTGAATGCCCGAGCTGAGGCAGGCTGAGGCCGAGGCAGGCTGAGGCCGAAACAGGCTGAGGCTGAGGCTGAGGCTGAGGCACGCCGAGGCAGGCTGAGGCTGAGGCTGAGGCTGAGGCAGGCTGAGGCTGAGGCAGGCTGAGGCTGAGGCTGACGCAGGTTGAGGCCGAGGCAGGCTGAGGCTGAGGCTGAGGCAGGCTGAGGCTGAGGCAGGCAGGCTGAGACTGAGGCTGAGGCAGGCTGAGGTTGAGGCTGAGGCTGAGGCTGATGCAGGCTGAGGCTGAGAGGCTGATGCTGAGGCTGAGGCAGGCTGAGGCTGAGGCTAAGGCCGAGGCAGGCTGAGGCTGAGGCTGAGGCAAGCCGAGGCAGGCTGAGGCTGAGGCTGAAGCTGAAGGCAGGCTGAGGCTGAGGCTGAGGCTGTGGCCGAGGCAGAGCAAGCTGCGGCTGAGGCAGCTGAGGCTGAGGCTGATGCAGGCTGAGGCTGAGGCAGGCTGAGGCTGAGGCTGAGGCTGAGGCAGGCTGAGGCTGAGGCCGAGGCTGAGGCTGAGGCAGGCTGAGGCTGAGGCTGAGGAGACAGGCTGAGGCTGAGGCTGAGGCAGGCTGAGGCTGAGGCAGGCTGAGGCTGAGGCCGAGGCAGGCTCAGGCCGAGACAGGCTGAGGCTGAGACTGAGGCTGAAGCTGAGGATGAGGCCGAGGCATGCCGAAGCTGAGATAAGGTGAGGCTGAATGGGGGGGGGGGAAGGGGGGTTGGGGGGGAGGAGGGGAGGCTGAGGCAGGCTGAGGCCGAGGCAGGCTGAGGCTGAGGCTGAGGCTGAGGCTGAGGCTGAGGCAGGCTGAGGCTGAGGCTGACGCAGGCTGAGGCCGAGGCAGGCTGAGACTGAGGCTGAGGCAGGCTGAGGCTGAGGCCGAGGCAGGCTGAGGCTGAGGCTGAGGCAAGCCGAGGCAGGCCGAGGCTGAGGCTGAAACTGAGGCAGGCTGAGGCATCCGTAGGAATCCCTAGGAATCCTTAGGAATCCCTAGGAATCCTTAGGGATCCGTAGGCATCCTTAGGAATCCGTAGGCATAGTTAAGAATCCTCAGGAATCGTTAGGAATCCTTAGGATTCCCTAGGAATCCTTAGGATTTCCTAGGAACCCCTAGGAATCAGGATTCCTAAGGTTTCCTAAGGATTCCTATGGATTCCTAAGGATGCCTACGGATGCCTTTGGAATCCCTTGGAATCCTTAGGATTCCATTGGATCCTAAGGCCGTTGCCACTGCGACTGTCATTGCGAATGCGACCGCGACTGCGAGAACAGCAGAATTCTACAACTGGATTCTCACCGGAATCTGAGGGGGAATGCTTCTAAATATGCTTATACACCTAGCTGTTAGGTTGCTTTGCCGGGATATTTTTTTATGGGGCTGCATCCCCGCGGGACGAGGGCCGGGGGAGCCACGTGCCATCGGCACCTCTCTCTCGCTCCCCGAGCTCCGGCTTCTGCCGCAGCGCCTGCCGCGCGACGGCCTCCAGCGCTGCCTCGTCGGCGACCCGGAGCCGGGGGAACACGACGGCCACGGCGGTGACGTCCTCGGCCCGGAAGTCCACCATGCGGGCAACCAGCAGCTCGCACAGGGCCGCCAGCGCCCACCGGTGGCTCCTCCCGACGAGGTCGGCGCACTGCCCCAGGGCCTCGACCGCGCGCACCAGCCGCCGCGGCGTGTCCAGCTCTTCCAGGCGGCCCCGCAGCAGCGGGATGGCGTAGTGGCACGCCGCGGCGCCCACCTCTGCCTGGCCCAGGCCGTGCAGGAGCCTGAGCGTGTCGTCAACCGACAGCCGCCTCTATTGGGGGGCAACAAAAAAGTGGCACGAGTGCCATAGCTCGTCCACATAAGGTAAGGGGGTGGATGATGATGATGATGATGATGATGATGATGATGATGATGATGATGATGATGATGATGATGATGATGATGATGATGATGATGATGATGATGATGATGATGATGATGATGATGATGATGATGATGATGATGATGATGATGAGGAGAGGAAGAGAGGAGAGAGAGAGAGGAAGAGGAGGAAGAGGAGGAGGAGGAGGAGGAAGGAGGAGGAGAGGAGGAGGAGAGGAGGAGGAGGAGGAGGAGGAGCAGGAGGAGGAGGAAGGAGAGGAGGAGGAGGAGACACACGGCGGCGGGCACTGGGTTGCTGGGGATCAGACTGGGCAGCTCGCTTGGCTGCTAGGGAACGCTGGGGGGGGCGGGGGCTGTGCGACGCAACACTAAACTGGTCGGGGCGGAGAGGGCGCTGGGCTGCTCGGGAACACTGGGCTACTGGGGAATGCTGAAGGGAGGGGGCGGGGGGGGGCGGTGCGGCGCGAAGATAACGCGGTCCAGGCTGAGGGGGCAGTGGGCGAAGAGGGCATTGGGCTGCTGGGGAAAGCTGGGGGGTCGGGGCGGAGGGGGTCGGGGCGGAGAGGGCACTGGGCTGCTGGGGAACACTGGACTGCCGGGGAACGCGGGGGTGGGGGGGTGGGCGGTGCGGCGCGAACACGAAATCATCGAGGCGGGGAGGGCACTGGGCGGAGAGGGCACTGGGCTGATGGGCTGATGGGGAACGCTGGGGGTCGGGGCGGAGGGCGCACCAGGCGGAGAGAAGGCACTGGGCTGCTGGGAAGCGCGGAGAGGACACCGGGCGGCTGGGCTGGCAGAAAGGGGCCGAGGGGGAGGTGTGCAGCGCGGAAACGTATGGTCGGGGCGGAGGGGGCAGTGGGCGAAGAGGGCACTGGGCTGCTGGGGGTAAGCTGGGGTAAGCTGGGGGAGGGGGGGGTCGGTGGGGAATGCGAGGGGAAGGGGCGTCGAGAGGTGTGCGGCGCGGGAATAAAATGGTCGGGGCGGGGGTGGGGGCAGTGGGCGAAGAGGGTGCTGTGTCGCTGGGGAACTCTGGGGGCGAGGTGGGAGACTCTGGGCAGAGGGGCGGGGGGCAAGTGTGCGGCGCGGAAATAAAATGGCTTGGGCGGAGGAGGAGTGGACGGAGAGGGCACTGGGCGGCTGGGCAGCTGCGGCGCGGGAATAAAGTGGTTGGGGCGGAGGGGGTCGGGGCGGAGAGGGCACCGGGCTGCTGGGAAGCGCTGAGAGAGGTGTGGGGAGGGGGTCGGAGAGGGTGTGGGGGAGGTGTGCGGCGCTGAAAAACAATGGTCGGAGCTCTAGACACAATGTGCAATACAATCAGTGGTCATGGCGGATGGGGGTCGGGGCGGAGAGGGCCGCTGTGCTGCTGGGGAGGGGGTGTGGCGGTGCGACGCGACAATCACACGGTCGGGGGGGAAGGGGGTCGGGGCTGAAGGTCGCTGGGCAGAGAAGGCGCTGGGCTGCTGGGCAACATTGGGCTGCGGAGAAACACTTGGCAGCTGGGGAACGCTGGGGGGGCGGCGGGGCGGCGCGACGCAAACATAAATCATTCGGGGTGGAGGGCCCGCACGATAATAGCATTGGGCTGCTGGGGAACGCCAGGCTGCCGGGGAACGCTGGGAGGAGGGGGCAGGGGAGGTTGGGGCGGGGGGGAGGGCCGTGCGGCGCGAAAACAAATTAGTCGGGGCGGAAGGGGCCAGGGCGGAGGAGGCACTGGGCGGAGGGGGGCTGGTCTGCAGGGGAGCATTGCGCTGCTCGGGAAGGCCAAGCTGCTGGGGAACGCTGGGCGAAGGGGGGCAGTGCGACGCGAACATGAAGTGTTCGGGGCAGGGGGAGGGTGGCAGGGTGGGGGGGGGGGGCACTGGGCTGCTGGGGAGCGCTGGGCTGCTGAGGACCGCTGGGGGGGCGGGCGGTGCGATGCGACAAGTCAATTGTCGGGGTGGAGGGGTGGAGGGGGCGCTGGGCTGCTGGGGAACGCTGGGGTGAGGGCGGTGCGACGCCAAAATAATACAGTCAGAGCTCTAGACACAGGGTGCAATAATATAAACCGGTCGGGGCAAAGGAGGTCGGGGTCTGCTGGGGAGCGCTGGTCTGCTGGGGAGCGCTGGGGGGAGGGGCTGTGCGACGCGACAAGAAAATTGCCGGGGCGGAGAGCATCATGCTGGGGAGGAGGGGCGAGGGTCGGAGCTGGAGGGGGGTTGCGCTGGGGGGAGGGGGGAGGGAGTCACGCTGGATGGGGGGGGCGAGTGGAGGGGGCTGCTGTGCCAGATCGGAAAGGGCGCGCGAAGGGGGCTGCGAGGCGAAAGTGGGATGGTCTGGGTGGGCGGAGGCGGTCACGCTGGGGGGGGGGGGCGCGGAGGAGCTGTCGGGGCGGTGCGACGCGACTGCTGCGGGGGGGAAGTGAGGGAGCGGGGCGTGGAGCGAGAATAACAGGGTTGGGGCGGAGGGCGGCTGCTGGGGGACAGCGTGGGAAAAGAGGGCGGGGGCGGTGCCCTGCGGAGGCAAGGAGATGGGTGCGGTGCGACAATCCGCCGGCCCAGCGGGCCAGCGGGCGAAAGTCGCCAGTGAGAGTTTAAGACTGCCTCTAGACTTCGCGCGCGCGCGTGGCGGCCCCTGGGGGTCCCTGGACGAAGAATAATTACTCCGGCAAGGTCCTGGCAAGCTCCCGCCAGAGATCTTGCCGGCCTCGGGGGCCCCCCGAGCGCCCCAATGAGGAGCCAAAAAGGTGACACGCCCCACGGACTCAGGCCAAGCGCGTTCCAAGATGGCTCACGTTGGTCCCACGACTGCCCACACAGCGCCCAAGATGCTTCAGGAGGGCTCCAAGAGGATATGACACGCCCCGAAAACGCAACAATCATTGATTTTGCGATGGTTTTCGGACGAGTTTGGCGGTACCGCTTGTTCGGGTTGCCGACCGCCCTGGACATCCCCGGGAGGCTCAAGGATCGCTCCAGGACGGCCCAGCGAGCTCCCGAGGGGGCGCCCAAATGGCACAAAGCGGCCCTAAGACGGCCCGAGAGGCCGCTAAGACGGCCCCAAGAGGGGGCACCGAGGGGGAACCCACACAGACGTGTCGAGCTCTCGGCCCCGCCCAGGAAGCCCCCAGAGGCCCCCAAGAGCCCCCCAAGAGGCCACAAGACGCAACAAAGAGGCCTCCAAAGAGGCCCCCAAGTTCCTAAGAGTCCCAGCAGGCCCCCAGGAAGCCCCAAGAGACCCCCAAGAAGCCTCCCAGAGGCCCCCCAGAGGCATCTGCTCCCCAGAGGCTCCCTCCGGAAAGACTCCAAGAAGCATCATGATGACTTGACCCACAAGCTGGAGCTCCCTGGAGCTCCCTCGGAACTCTGCTGGAGTTCTCTTGAGCTATCGTGACGCCCTCGGGGGCAGTCGATCGGCTCCCTTCGACAAGGTGCGAGCCACATCTCTACAGGTCTCCTCGAAACCCGTCCTGCCAACCCTACCATTCTCCCTGGGCACGAGCACACCGCGCAGCCAGTGATGCGAAATGGGCCGACGGAGTGAGCGAAACGATTCAATGACATGGTCGGGGCGGAGGGGGCGCTGGGCTGCTGGGGGACAATGAGGGGATGGGGGCGGGGGCGGTGTCCTGCGGGGGGAGGAAAAGGGTGCGACGCGACAGTCAAATCGACGGGGCGGAAAGGTCGCTAGGCTGCTGCTGGACTGGGGAGAAACAGCGGGAGCGGTGTCCTGCGATGTGGAGAGGGAGGGGAGGGTGCGGTGCAACAAGAACATGGTCGGAGCGGAAGGAGTACTGGGTTGCTGGAGGACCGTGGGGGGCTTGGGCGAGGGCGGTGCCCTGCGGGGGGGAGGGGGGGTTCGACAAGAAAATGGTCGGGCCGGGGGGGGCACTGGGCTGCTGGGGGCCAGTGTGGGGAGAGGAGACGGGGGCGCTGCTCTGCTGGGTGAGAGGGGAGGGGGGGGGGGGCGCGATGCGAACATGAAAGCTGGTCGGGGCTGAGGGGGCGCTTGGCTGCTGGGGGGGCAATTCGGGGGTGCGGGGGCAGGGGCGGCGCGCTCTGCGGTGTAGGTGGGGGGGAGGGGGGGGGGAAAGGGGAGCGAACATCAAATTGCCAGGGCGGAAATGTCACTGGGCTGCGACGGGGAGGCGGGGGAAGGGGGAGTGCGCTGCGCAGATCGTGCGGTCGGGGCGGATGGGGCGCTGGGCTGCGGGAGAACAATGGGGAACGGGGCGGGGGGGGGGTCCTGCGGGGAGGACGGCAGAGGGGTGTGAACATACAGTGGCCGGGGTGGAAGGGCAATGGGCTGCTAGGGGGCAATGGGGAGAACGGGCGGGGGCGGTGTTCTTGCGGTGTGGGCGGGGATTGGGTGGGCGAGAGGGGAGGGGCGTTGCGAACAATACACTGGTCGGGGCGGAGGGGGGCACTGGGCTGCTGCTGGACCGTGGGGAAAGGGAGCGGTAACGGTGTCCTGCGTGCGGGAGGGGTGGGAAGGCCGTGAGAAAATAAAGTTGTCGGGGCGGAGGGGGATCAAGGCTGCTGGGGGGCAGTGTGGAGAGAGGGGACGGGGCGGTGCCTTGCGGGGTGAGTGGGGAGACGGGGGGGAGTGAGATGCGACAATAAACTCGTCGGGGTGGAGGGGGTGCTGGGCTGCTTGGTGACAGTTGGGGGGCAAGGGGCGAGGGCGGTATCCTGCGGGGGCAAAGGGGGGGGTCGGTGTGAAAATGAAGTGTCGGAGCGGAGGGGGCACTTGGCTGCTAGCGGACGATGTAAGGATATGGGGCGGGGGCGGTGCCATGCGGAGGGGGCTGAGTCCGGCGGGAGAATAAACTGGTCGGGACAGAGGGGGCACTGGGCTGCTGGGGGAACAAAGGAGGGGGGCTGGGGCGGAACCCTGCGTGGGGCGGTGAGGGTGAGGGGCGCGGCGCGACGATCAAATGGTCGGGGCGGTGAC